CTTACCTTTACAGAGGTACCAAAAGTTTCTTCTTAAATCTAATAGCTGTGAGGCTATAAGTGATTTACTTTTGTGTGTTTTTGTCAGGCAGAAATGTATTTATACCCCCTGAGGGTGTAAGAGGTTAGTCTAAAATCCCAATATGATGCAATTAAGCTTGTTAAATGTGGTTAAATGGAAGAAAGCAAAAGGAGCTTGGAAAATGTTAACATGCCGAGTGGCTAATGGTGTTTAATGTATATTATGTTATTTTAATCTATTTGTTCCAGTGGATGTAAAAGTAGCATTAAGGGTTTGCATGAGTCAGATCATACAGTAGGTTGTGAGACATTATGTTTAATTTGCAGTTTTGCATCTGCTTCAATATATATATATATATATGAAGCCATATTCATTTTTGGTGTACCCCAGGGTAGTGTTTTGGGGCCTTTCTTGTTTTCATTTTGATAGGTCACTTTACTGTATATTTTGAATGCTTTTAGCATGTCTCAATTCAATGTCATTATTGTAAGGTAATTATAACTAAGTTCTTAAATAGTAGTTGTTGATGGTTGCAGACAGAAACTAACTCCAGTAGCCTACTATCTTACAGCTGCTGAAGACTGAAGACCTACTGTTGCTCTTGTTGTATGATGATCTCTTCTTACTGCTATATGTGTGATATTCAGTTAAATATGTATTTTACAGTATAAAAACTTATGGTGCTACTCTAGGGCTTAAGCTGTGGAGAAGGTTAAATGTCTCAGAGGTTTCTCCAAATGAATAAAACTGAAATTCTTGTTTAAGTTCCAGAGAAATCATACAACTCAACTAATGAAAACTCTCAGTCCTCTTGCCTTTCTTGCCACATGCTTTATCAGTACCCTTAAAGTAAATTATGCCTCTATTGTGATGTTAGACAGTCATATTTAATCTTAGATTTGCTCATGTTTTTACTNTTAAAGTAAATTATGCCTCTATTGTGATGTTAGACAGTCATATTTAATCTTAGATTTGCTCATGTTTTTACTTAATATTGCTAAATTAATCAGTAATATATTACAAAATAATGGGACATTTTTATTTATGCATTAGTATCTTTAAGATTGGATTCTTGAAACTCAATCACCTTTGTAGACAGAGCACAACTGGACCATCGAAAGGTTCTGTAGAATAGAATAGAATAGAATAGAATAGAATAGAATAGAATAGAATAGAATAGAATAGAATAGAATAGAATAGAATAGCCCTTTCCCATCCCAAAATGGGGAAATTCTGGTATTTCTAGAACCATGCTGCCAAAAGTCTGACCAAATGAGAGAAGTTGTCTCTTTTCATGCCATTACTCATTTAGTTGCATTGTTTCCCCATTCACTACAGAGTAGAATGTATGATCTTGATTCTCTCTTATGGAGAATGAACATGAACTTACATATATGAACCATTACATTTGTATATCCCAAACAAGCATGGAGGTTTAAAACTAGAAATGAAACAACCTTCTCGACAGTTTTGCCAGAATACTCTCCCCATTAGTTTCAGGTCTTTGGACTTCGGAGTTTTTTGTTACAAGAGACTAAAAAAATATCTTTATACATTTTCTTTAGATGAATTATTTGAATATGTGGGCGTTTAATGTATCAGATCTATCTTGGCAGATATTGGAATCAAAATGCATGGTTAACCAAAATTGCTCAGACCAGTCGATTACTGTTTTGCAACAAATATGGCACACAGAAGATTTGGTTCAGATTTGATCTAGGTATAAACATGCAGATTAGTCATAAGTTCATTAATGCCTTGTTTTGCAAAAAGCTAACACACAAAGGCATCGGTGTTAGAAAAGAGTTAAAGTGTTATCAGGCTGTTGCTGGATCATTTGACAGTCGTTTAAATCAGCGTGGAGAGCATGGAGGAACAGCACAAAGCTGAGTGATATAAAACAACTCAGGATGTGATGCTCCATGTTACAGTCAATAGTTATGTGCACAGGAGATGTCATCCTGCACCATACTGTATCACAAACTTTAACAAAAAACAGATTAAAACACTATAAAGCATCTGTTAACTAGAACTATTAAAACATTATTTGCTGGAAACTGTCTCTGCTTTGAGATGAATGTAGTTCTACTTTGTTCTTTTAGTTTACTGAGAAGAGAGGAAAGTCAGTCCAACATATCAAACCTGTCAAGTTGAAGGCCACAGGATCAATTTGACATAATAAAAAAATAATAAATAATAGATATTATAAATCATATTCCCTAACTTTTCCCTCTTCTCTACCTCCTCATACAATGCAATGATAAAAGTCTTCCCTGCTTAATATTAAAAGAGAGGCAGCCTTAAATGATCCTTTTTGATGGAGACTGACCATTATGTAGATTGCATTAGTCTGCTCTTGTTAATGCATCTGTTTTGCTGAAAAATATTCAAACATCATAGAAGTTCTTTTTCTGGTTGGATGAATATAGTTTGATGTAATCATCAGTGGTCAGGCTTAAATCTAAACAAGCAAAATACTAATGTGACATCACTAATTTCTTGCACTGTATGGTTTCATTGTCTATTCTTGTGGCTAATGCTTTGCGTAAAGTATTTGCACTCTTTTAACTTTTCACATTTCATTCAATGCATAAGTCAGTCTGATTGACCAGGCTAAAGGGAGAATGGGAAAAAGTATGAAAATGTTGTTCTACAAATCCATAATTGTCATTATAATCAGAGAGTGACAAGGAGACTTTTAAAAGGTGTTTGTAGAACAAGCCACAGAAAAAATTAGGGAAGAGAACCCTATGGTACGATGAGATCAGAATTTACCTTCACGAGATAAATAAGGCCCTACAAGATATTTTAAGCAAAACATTCCTCTGTAGATCAAGCTTATGTATTTCAGTATAATTCCTCAAGAAGCTTCAAAAAGAAATAAATATTTGATGACTATTCTATTGACAGCAAGTAATAAAACTATTACAAGAAAATTATTATCATAGGACAAATCAGCTTTAGATGACTGGATTGATATAACATTTATAAAATGGAAAAAATAACAGCCTCTATCAATCACAAGACTGAACAATTCCGTCAGTGATGGCAGATTTGGGTAGACTATGTAAAACTTAAAAGATTTGACTTTACTTTTAGAGACCTAACTTGATAAAATTTCCTTGACAATCCACTCTCCTATGACAGTCATATTTTTTTCTTTTTTGTTGTTTCATCTTTCACACTCTTAACCTCTTACTATATAATGATTCTTAGGAAGTAAGCTGTAATTTTATTTAGAATGATATAATACAATGGCTTACTTGTCCACCTTGTTTAAAATTTAACTAATCTTGCAAAGTAGTGGCCTAAAGTTTTGTGATTTATACTTTTTTGAGAATTAATAAAGATAGAATAAAAATACAAAGAATTGATCT